ATTCATCTATTCCTTTTCTGAGGTTCTTCCTTTCTTTATATAGGGTCAAGTTTCTGACCTATATTATTTTGCTTCTTACCAAAAAAACTTGTTTTAAAATTTCTTGCAGGGCAGGTCTGGTGGCAATGAATTTCTTCATTCTTTTGGTTTGTCAGAAAAAGTCTTTACTTCTCATTTATTTTTGAAGTATAATTTCCCCTAGTATAAAACTTTAAGTTGGGGATTTTTTTAAATAGTACTTGAAATATTTACTCCATTCTCATCTTGCTTTTATGATGGGTGAGGAAAGAATCATTGAACTTGAAAATAGGTCAGTGGAAACTTCCAAAACTTAAATGCAAAGAGAAAAAAGATTTTTTTTTAAAGACAGAAATTCTCTAAGAAATGGATAATTTCAAAAGGTGTAGCAGACATGTAATTAGAATATAAGAAGAATAATGAGGAAATGAAGCACAATAAATATTCATATATTAATGACTGACTTCAAAACCCAGAACTCAGAAAGTTCAGATAACATGAGGTAAGATAAATATTAAAAAATTGACACCCGCAGAAAAATATTTAACCTACAGAAAACCAAAACCAGAGAAAATATTGCAAGAAGCCAAAGATAATAAATACATTACCCATAAAGGAAGAAGTATAACAATTATTTTACATTTCTCTTCAGAGATCATAAAAGCAAGATGAGAATGGAGTAAATATTTCAAGTACTATTTAAAAAAATCCCCAACTTAAAGTTTTATACTAGGGGAAATTATACTTCAAAAATAAATGAGAAGTAAAGACTTTTTCTGACAAACCAAAAGAATGAAGAAATTCATTGCCACCAGACCTGCCCTGCAAGAAATTTTAAAAGAAGTTTTTTTGGCAAGAAGCAAAATAATATAGGTCAGAAACTTGACACTATATAAAGAAAGGAAGAACCTCAGAAAAGGAATAGATGAATGTAGAAATTAAATTTCTATATTCTTTATTTTTAATTGCTCTGAAAGATAAATAAGTATCTGATTTCCTAATTGACCTGAAAGATAAATAAGTGTCTAGTAAACATAGTAATGACATATTGGGTGATTATAGCATATAGATAAGTTAAATGAATGATAGCAATACCGTAATGGACAGGAGGTAAGAACTGTGAATACTCCATTGCACAATACCTATACTACATGTATGAATCAGCTCATCAAAGTTATTTTCATTTCTGATACAGTTTTTTAATTTCTAATATCCCTTTTAGATTATTTCTCAAAGTTTCTGTTCATATAATTAATATCTTTTTGCATGTTGTGTATTTCTTCCATGAGAGTTCTTAACTGAACATCTTCTCTGATAGTTTCATTATCTGTGTCACACCTAAGTCTAGCCTGACACATGCTTTGTCTCTTTAAACTGTGTTTTAAAGCCTTATAATGTTCAGATTATAACCAGACATGTTGTATCAGGTAATAAGAATGTAAGAAAATAGTCCTATAGTGAAAGAATTTATAGTAATCTAGTTAGAAGTTGGGTTATATCTAATGTATGCTGTAGTTATAGGTGCCAGAGGCTTCAAAGTCCTCTTACTCTCCTCATTTTTGTCACCCTTCTTAATTTGTATGATCCTAAGTACTTTCTCTAAAAAGACTCTGATTCTTATAGTTTTTTTGTTTGCTTGTTTTGTATACAGTAATTCACTGTCATTATCCTGGAGCCCTGTTGTAGTGGTAACTACAAGGTAGTGGGGAGGGGAGCATTCTATAATCTAATGATTGAGATCTTAATGATTCTTGGCTGTGACTTTACAAGAGTTTCTGCTGCTGCGCGGCTTCCCCTACTCCCTGCTAAGTGAGACAGCAAGGCTAGAAAGAACTACAGTGAGATGATGCCTTTCCCCAGCTGGGTTAAGGCTTTGGTAAAGTATTTTCCCCTCGAGAGTAGGCCGTTTCTAGAATACGTGCCAGGAGTACTTCACTATGAATGTTTTGTGCTCTGGCACAAACAGAAGCTCAATGGGCTTTTTCTCAGATCTTCACTATGTGAACCTGGTGGGCTTCCTGAATGTAAATGACAGAAGTATGTGGACCTCCTAAAACTACATCTTCCTGGAGTTTCTCATGTTCAAATCACTCTTCTTCCAGTAATTCACCAAAATTAACGCTTAGGTGCTCCTATTAGTTTCTAGCTCTGATGAATTCTGCTCCAGGTAAGCAGATCTTAGATGTCACTTTCTTGATTCACCTTTCTCTCCAGGTTTTGGTATAGTGTTTTCTCTGGTTTTGGTTTTCTGTAGGTTAAATATTTTTCTGTGGGTGTCAATTTTTTTATATTTATCTTGCCTCATGTTATCTGAAGAAGAGTGATTTGAGCATGAGAAACTCCAGGAAGATGTAGTTTTAGGAGGTCCACATACTTCTGTCATTTACATTCAGGAAGCCCACCAGGTTCACATAGTGAAGATCTGAGAAAAAGCCCATTGAGCTTCTGTTTGTGCCAGAGCACAAAACATTCATAGTGAAGTACTCCCGGCACATTCTCTAGAAACGGCCTACTCTCGAGGGGAAAATGCTGCAAAGCATTGCACCTTGGTGTGCCGAATACTTTGAACCAAAGATTGGAAGGGCCTCAGGTGCAAGGTCTTTCTGACCTTTCCTTCTTCTGTTTCCCACTCTTCTTTCCCGCAAAGCAAGTCAGAGGAACCAGAATTCCTCTTCCCCAAGGCAGATCATGGAAACTAAAACCTCTCTTTCACAAAGCAAGACTTTAAACCAAGAAAGGTGTCTCTTCTTTTTCCTTTGAAGATCCTTATTTCAGAGAGATCCTGCCTCATACCTGGGAGGAAGGAATGCTACACCCAGAGGCCAAGAAGAACCTGAACAGACAGACCTTACTGGTCCCACTCCCAGGTGCATTACCATTAGAGCATACTCTTTTGTTCAATCACATTTCTACACAGTTGTCCATTCATCATTCTAAGAATAAAAATAAACAGTTTCCCCTGGGTCTTTGTATCTTCATTTATGAAGGCTCTGGTGTCAAGTACAACCTTGATTAAATTCACCTGTTATGCTCTTCTCTTGATAACCTGTCTTTTATTACAGGAGTGTCGGCAGTCACCCTTACGATGGAACTTTAGTTCTCTGTTGGGTTCAAGAAAAGTGGTTGATTTTTAGTTTGTTAGCGTTTTTTTTTTTTTTTTTTAAGGATGGGTTATTTACATGTTGGATTTAAAACCATTAGTCTAAGTATTACTTTTTAAACTTTTCATTTTCTTTTGTATTTGTGCATTTGCACTGGGTCATAATGTAGTATGTAGTTCTTAGTAGGGTTAAAACATTTTAAAAAACAATGCTGTGAGGCAGAGAAAATAAGACTCTGGGCCTATTTCTGCTGAGGCATTTCCCATTCATATTTCCAAACATGTTCATGTAATCATCTTACAAGTTGCTACATAGCAGCCAACATTTTGGAATAAGATCTTTCATTAATTTGCAGAACACATCAGTTGAAAGAAAGACTTAGAGAAGTTTAATTAGCATAGGTGGCAAATAGCAGTTATTTATTTACCTATTAACTACAAATTTGTTGTTAAACCAAGTAGATGATTGGGATATCTTGGGAAACATGAACACTAGTTTTCTCCTTTTCTAGTAAACAATTTGAACTTGGCCATGATTTATTCTTTGCACTACTCTTAGCCAGTAAGCATACTGATAAAAAAATCTTAAGTAATTGAATAATTATATTGGACATCTTGATCTGCTATTTGGGAATATGGTTTAAGTACTTCTTAATTTGCAATATTGATTTTTCCATAGTGACTTCAGTCTAACTAGATTTAGTTTAAACTCTGAAACTAATTAGTTAGAAATTATTGTTCATTAAATCATTTAAGAATGTGACACAGTGAAGTAGAAGGCACTGAGACAAGAAAGAAAAGAGAGTTTTCTCTCATTTCACTTCTGCATATGTCTGTCCATGACAGAAAGCAGTGTCTGAAGTGTTTATACATGCTTAGTATAGAGTTGCTCCTTTTTAAAATCCAACTCCAACCTAAGCTGTGCAAAGAAATCCATAAAGGGAATGCATGCTTTGCATAACACAAATGGAGTTCTGTAAAAACACTGTAATTAGATTGCAAAAGAGCTACATTCTAAAAGGAAAAAGAAGTTTAGAATGTGGTTGATATACTCTTTAATTTATAATATTTTTACTACATTTCCAAATTCATAAGACTGAGCATCATTTTATTTCAAAATATTTTATATAGTTCACTTTTATGAAGTTTTATGAGGTATTTTTATTCTCTGATTGTAAAAAGACAGCATAAGTTTAAAAACCAAGCAGCCCTACACTTATATTAAAATAGTCAAAAATTAATACATGAGATTTTTATTTTGGTGCAATTATTTTGGCAAGTAGAGTTATTCCATCTGGAGTTTTATATTTGATACAATTTATCATGTTGCAAGCAAAACTGGATAATCAAATGATTAGCTTCATAAGTGAAATAAGGAAAAAATGGGAAGATTATATGTAGAAATCATACCATGCTGATAAAATAATGAAAAAAAAATTATGCTTTCCAGAACAATTAAAAATATACCAGAGACTGGGGGCAAAAAAAGGCAGAAAGGAAAAAATAAAATTAATTACTTAAAATCCACATCAATTGCTAATCCTCAAGTGGCTATAAAGCAAATAGTTTGTTTCATGTTTAAAAGTATATTAACGAGCTTCGGCCAACATATTTTAAAATGTGTGATATTATGGGATGTCATTTAACTACATGGTATACAAACTAATTTCTCATAATTTACACATTCTAACTTTTGCAAATTCAGATTAATAATAATAATTTGGGGTATGTGAAAACTAAACACAGGTAACACCTGCAGAACAATATTAGTTTCTGTAGGGAAGTGAAACCATTTATCATAAATTTATTGGAAGGAACTCAGGATGATGTTTTATACTTATTAAATGATGCTTTATACTTATGAAATCATAAAAATTCTTACCTAAAGCTTTCATGCACCAAACTTTCTTATTCCAAAGAACTGCCCGTGTTCTAATGCACTTATCATTTGATGTAAATTAAATCTCCACAGTATCACCAATTACTTCATCCCTCAAAATAATGAAAATTTCAGTCAGGCTTGGTGGCTCAGCCTGTAATCCCGCGCCTTTGGGAGGCTGAGGTGAGTGGATTGCCTGAGCCCACGGGTTCGAGACCCGCCTGGGCAGCGAGACCTCATCTCTACAATAAATCAAAAAATCAGCTGGGCGTGGTAGTGCATGCCTGTAATTTCAGCTACTCGGAAGGCTGAGGCGGAAGGATTGCCGGAGCCCAGCAGGCTGAGGCTGTGGTGGCCGGGAGTGGCCACTGCACTCCAGTTTGGGCGACAGAGTGAGACTCCAACTCAAAAAAAAAAAAAAAAATTTCACCAGGATTCTAGAAGATGAAAATGTAACCCATTTCAGCATTTGAAGAAGTTTACATTAACCAAATAACCCACTGGATTTAGTAATGATTAAGGTCATACTCTGTCATTGAATAAGTCTTCTATGGTATTTGTATTTTCAACCATAATCAGACATAAAATATGTAAATGTGATTCTCACAACATTTTAAATGTATCAAATTGGTGTTTATTGTATGCTCCTTTTTTCCCCTCTAATACCATGTTTTGCAGTGAAACAAACAGAATATAGTTCGTACCTTTTTCTCTTGCTTCTTCCTAAGTATGGCTTCCTGTCCCATGGTATGCATCATTTCCCAGACCAGCAGGGGTCTAGAATTCACCTGTTAATCAAATCCCTTTTTATCATCTTTCTATAACTTGTTTTTTTTTTTAATCTAGAAACGAGAGGATTGAACAAGTTGAACATTAAGATCACTTACGATTTAAATATAATGACTTATTTTTAAAGCTTAATAGTTCTATATTTCATATAATAGAAGTTATTTGGCTACTCCTTATGATGAGTGTCTACGAGGGTATTTGAATCGAATACGGGTTATAAATTTAAAAGTTTCAAGATTTAATTAAGATGGAAAGCTAAATCTAGCAGTAAGGTAAAAAGGGTTATTGAAGCCGGGCTCGGTGGCTCAGCCTGTAATCCCGCGCCTTTGGGGGGCTGAGGTGAGTGGATTGCCTAAATCCGCGGGTTTAAGACCCGCCTGGGCAGCGAGACCTCATCTCTACAATAAATCAAAAAATCAGCCGGGCGTGGTAGCGCATGCCTGTAATTCCGGTTACTTGGAAGGCTGAGGCGGAAGGATCACCAGAGTCCACCAGGTCGAGGCTGTGGTGGCCGGGAGTGGCCACTGCACTCCAGTCTGGGCGACTGAGTGAGACTCCAACTCAAAAAAAAAAAAAAAAAAGGTTATTTAAGAACTTTTTTGGAAAACATTCAGAAAAAATACTAGGAATAAAAGATTGAAGTAAATACAGATACAAGGAAGGAATAAACATTTATTGAGCATCTATTTTTTTAAACAGGAATTAAGCTAAATACTTTTTATATAAAGATATATCCCTTAATCCTAACAGATATATATAAACTTACATACACACATATACAAACACACACCTCAAAACAAATGGAGAAGGCTACTATCTTTCTCTTTTAGGAACAGGGCAACAATATATAGAATTACATTCTGAAGAAAAATCAGGACTAACTTCCAAATCTACACAATTATTTACATCATGCGGTTGAACCCTTTGAAAACACTAAAAGCTACTTTTAATATTAATACAATTATCTTATATATTACTTTTTAAAAGCTTTCTTTAAAGTCATACAAAATTTCAATTCCACACTAAGTAAACAGGAATCTCATTTATATGCTCTTATAAAGTCATGCTTATTAAAAAGCCACTAATTACTAAATTACCTTTTTAAATGCTATTTCCCTAAGCATAAATCACTCACCAATAAAACTTACATCTTACTGCTTTGTGTCAAAGAGTTTCTACAAAGACCAGGTTGATACTATGGAATCATTCAGCTAACACACAAATCCACTTCAGGTATTTTCCACCAGAGTCTAATACTCCCAAATATTTATCCACAGGATATTTTGAACTAAACTTCTCATCAATTAAATTGCACATTGACAAAAGATTCTATCTCAAAGGAATTTCACCTGTTGCTCTTGCCCTGCACATGCAATATGTCGGCAGGTTAGGAATGTCAGCCCTCCTATTCTCCACATCTGCAACCTCCTCCCAGGACCTTACTTCTAGTATAGTTTTTTGTTCCTTTTATCAGTCACCTTACCTGGAATCCTAAAGAGGATAATGACTTTCCATTTCACTTGGGCTCAATTCCTCAAGATCCTCTCATTCGAGGTTCTTCAATTCTTTTGCAGGTGTGCATCATTTCTTGTTTCCTGTTGACTTGTGCCTTTCCTAACTTGGCAAGCACTTGTATACCCTCCCAGTGTTTTATCCACTCAGCTGATTCTTTCTTACTCTTGAGTGTCCCCACAGACTGCTTCTGATGCATTACATTGCCCCCTCAATAAAAGGCAGGAGTCTACCTTTCAACCATTTCCAGGGAAAAGGTCTAAACAAAAGACAAATATACTGACCACCAAATGAGGCACTCAAATCTTAATTTGTATGCAGAGCCAACTTCATGGTCCCATGACCTTAGAATCACACAAGGCACCTCTCTTAGAAGGCCCTGCACTTAATATAATGCTCCGCTGTCACTGCCTTGACATACTTTAGAATTTGAACAAGGTGCCTTGAATCTTCATTCTGCATTGCAAATTAAATAGCCAGGCCAGTTTGTGTATAGTGCTGGCATGCTGTTAATTCCTTGTCTTCTATCTCCCCAGACCTATCCTTTACAACAACCCTCTTCCTGTCAGAAGCAACAAGGTTTCACCAGCTCCACAAAATCCTCCCTGCAACTTCAGCTCACAAGTTTTAGGACTTTCAAAAGAATACTAGAGCATTTCATATCCATATCTCTCATGTGACCATTTCAAAGCCATGCCCTCTACTCTTGATTCATTTTTCAGGTCTGGATCTTAGTTTTCTAGCTAGGTTTTAAACATCCCATGGGTGTTTTATTTTCTTATAATATTGTAGCAACTTGCAAGAGTTACCTTTGTTTCTTTAGAGTAAGATACTGGCATTATTATTTCTTAGCATTCTCTGTATGCAACTTATTTGAGAACCATTTGGATCAAGAAAGAAAGATGTCTTTTGGTCAGTGAACAGTTAATACAAAATGAAGACTTTCATTAGAGAATATGCTGTGTTCTAGGATTCAGACAAAAAATTTAATATAATTAATATAGATCCAAATGCAGCTAAAGTGATTTAAAAGGTCTTTTGTGGTTGTGCTATAATTTTAAGAAATAAATTTCCTCAAGAAATCAATAAGTGACTGAATTGATTTTTTAAATGTTTCTGTCTTATCATCAGGACAGCATCAGTGGGAAAATAAAAAATAAAGGATCATTGGTTGATTATACTAAAGGGAATAGGAGTTTTGAGAAAAGGAAAAGCGGAGACTGCAACAGGCAGGTTCTACCAAAAACTCTGCCTACACAGATAAAACAGGACAAATAAAATAAGCCCACTCTTAATTGTTCTTTAGAATGGTGCTACTGCAGAGAAAATATAGAAGTCATTACTGAATTCGTGATCGGGGATCACAGAAATAACAGGAGAGGCCAGGCTGCATACAGAGAGTAAACTGTAGTATTCCCAGGAGAAGCCCCTGTCAAGGAAAACATTTGACAGATCCTTCTTAAAGCTTTGTGTAAAATCTATAAAAACAGTGACTAGAATTACCCCCTTAAAGATTAGGCAGTTCTAGCAAATGTTTTTAGAACAACTGGGCATTTGCAGAGAAGCTTCTGAAGGGAGCACTGAATTCTTGAGGCCATGATTAGGCAAGTTTTAAGGTAATTTATTTATTGTAAAGGGCATGAATATGTTTCCTACACTCTGAGATAGGTTTCAACCTTGGCACTACTGATACTTTTGGACCCCAAAAGTCATTGTTTTGGGAGCTGCTGTGTGCATGATAGGAGGGTTAGCAGCTTCCCACAATTCCGCCCATGAGGTGCCAGGAGCAATCCCCCAGTAATGGCAACCAAAAATGTCTGCAGACTTTACCAAATGTCCCTGGGTGGAAAGGGACAGAAGCACCTCCAGTTGAGGGCCAGTGTTCTGAGGGTATTTGCTTCAGAAATTTCTGGAATTAGAATTTTAGAGTAATCAGCCACAGTGGGAAGAGAAGTCACCAAGTAACAGACAGATCCAGTTCTGGTTTAGATGTTATTCCAGTGGGAGCATGCCTCCCAGATGGATTTTTCATCAGGGGAGTAAAATTACATATGATCTGCTTGAACAATGGATGCACTTGGCAGACCTAGCACTCTCTGACTTTATATGTTTCATGGCCAACTACCCAACAACACAAAATCAAGAGGAATATGCTCTTGATTTTGTATAAATGTATGGGCTTATAAACAAAGAAAAGTTTAAAAATATATGCTAATATAGAACAAAGTGTGCCAACCCTATAGAAGGAAACAAAAGGGATCAAATTAAGAAACAGGTTTAAACTTAAAATCTACCTGCATATTTCTCAAAGACAGAAAAAAACTTAAGTAGCATATTAGAGGCATATCTTCACTGGTGTATGAAAAGAATATTAAAGAAAAATGTATATTTTATATTATTTTAAAAGTGAGAAATTTTTGAGGCCTAAGAAATAAAAAACCTGATCCCGTGGTTTAATTTGAAAATACAATAAAGTACTATGGAAGGGAGTAGTGCGGGGAAGGGTGACAAGGCAGAGGGGTTGATACTCCCAAGCTCCAAGGGTCACAGGCAGAAGCAGCATCACCCACTGCTTCAATTAACTATAAATTAAAGCTGATTCTGTAGACTGCATGAGGGCACAGAGAAAAGAATTTCTCTAGGAGGCAGGGCCACAAGCCCTAGCAATTTCACAGCAAGAAACAGCAGCAGATGGAATTTAAGCTAACTCTCTGTTCATCAGAGAGAATGAAAATTATGTCACTGTACAGAACTCACAGTCAACTCAGTGTTAGCATGCTGAAAATGCAAAACTACAGAGGGAATTTAATAGGGTTTGAAGATGCTGGACATGAATGAGACACTTCTCAAATAAGACATGTTAACTGGCAAAGATAATATTGTGAATTTCTTGATTTTGTAGGATGGCAGGAAAGCCTCAACGATTACTTCCTGAAAGAGGAGGCAGTAGTCGTAAATGGTACCTATTCACCTACTACTTGGAAGACCTCTCAGAAATGAGTTGAAGTTCAAAGGTTGTACTTTCAGACAATTGGCATAGATTGAATGTTATTCTAGAAAATCTGAAACATGACTTTCACTCAGTGGGATACAAATGTTCTCTTCTGTGGTGCTTGACAATAGTCACATGGATTCAGACTGTACAAAGATATAATGTCTGAGAACATAAGGTTTTGCCTGGGGATTAACTACTTTTGGTCCAAGGAATAGCTTATTTTGAATTTTTAGAATGTGGGGCTAGTACTAAAACAACTTTGTATAACCTTTTCAACTTTAAGGATTCTTTAAAAAGTGAAGACTCAAAAGAAATTTTATGTTAAAATAATTTAATTCCAGAAGGTTTGAAAGAATGATATCCATATCAATTAAAAAAAAAACAAAAACAGCCCATGACTTTGCTATTGAAAGAAATGCTACTCCAATTAGTCATCTATGTGAGATATCTTTGCCTAGAGGGTAGTAAGATTTGAAATTTGAACTTTGATTTCTTTTCAAATTTAGTAGCAGAAGAGTTTTATAGTGCTCAGATTTTACTCTTGCAGATATTTTAAAAAGCAGTTATTTAGATTCACTGCATAACTCTTGGTGAGCTATTTTTAGTTTCAGAGGGTTTTTTTTCTGTTTTGATTTCATCTACTTGAGAGCAGCTGCACTTCTTTTCTATCTCTTCCATTATTTCTGACTCAGTAGGAACCACAAGTGCTGACTGTTTAGCCTGATCTCACTCCTTTAATTTCCTGAGTCCCTTAAATGAATTGTAATTTTTCTTTGTCTAATCGTCTGTGTCAGTTCCCTCAAACCCCTATAGTTCAGATTCCTGGGGTCTTTAAGGTAGTGTCAAAGGAATTTGTCCCAATGCAACTGATAGAAAAATAAAATAACAATTTTTCTGCTCAGGCATAAGGTAGGTGGGGAGCGAGGGTGAGGGATTTACTTATTTATTTATTTATTTTTGTTTTTATTTTGAGTCTGTCCCCGAGACTGGAGTGAAGTGGCTCAACCTGCTGGGCTCCGGTGATCCTTCCGCCTCAGCCTTCCAAGTAGCTGGAACTACAGGCGTGCACTACCACGCCTGGCTAATTTTTAAAATTTATTTATTGTAGAGATGAGGTCTCGCCTGCCCAGGCGGGTCTCGAACCCGTGGGCTCAGGCAATTCACTCACCTCAGCCTCCCAAAGGCGCGGGATTACAGGCTGAGCCACCGAGCCCGGCTGAAGGTGAGGAATTTAAACTTCACCAAACTACATAGATGACCAGCTAGTAACCCCTGTCACCTGGTCATGTAAATTCACTGGCTTCTACAGAAGGGCCACTTCAGGTGACTCCTGTAGACTCTCCTGTATCTCTGGCTCTTTCCAATCAAGAACACCACAGACATTGATGCTCAGCATCTTTTCTTCCCGAGATTATGTAGCCTAAATTCAGAGAGGCTTATTTTAGTGGTTCATTCCAAGGAAGTCTTAGAAGGAAGAAATGTCAGGAGCACTTATTAATATAGTCACCATTCCAGAGATCTAGCCCCCACAATTTATACTTATATTCCCTGAAAGGTCAGCTTTTCTAACTTATTTGATATTTCCACTCTATGTTGGTCTTTAATACAGGTTTTCTAATAGAAAAAATGATGGGAAGTATTTTTAAAAATTGTTTAAGGTTATTATGTTTCCCTTTATAAAAACAAATCTTTGATGTGTTTAATATAAATCCAACCTTCTTTTAATTTTATACATATATATGGCAATTGCATATCTGTTTGCAAAGTATGAAGTAACAGTTGGTAAAATTAAGCTTTTGTATATTTTCCAATATTCAATTATTCAACAAATATATACCAAATGCCTACTAATTGTCAGACATTATTCTAAGTTCTGGAGACATAGTCATAAACAAAGTAGACAAAAATGCCAGCTATGTTGACACATACATTCATATGAAATGCAGTACCTGTTGAAATAACGAGGCCACTTAAATAGTGAGGCATCTTTACTAACCTCACAGGGAATTTCAGCAGGAAGTACCATTGCCAGTGGTATGGTGCTTGTTGAAGCTTCCGATAATTCTTTAATTTCTTTTCTTTCACTTATTTCCCCAGAATGTTTCACTGTTGGAATGTTGACCTGGAGGTAGTCTTCAGAACCTAGAGAAAATTTTATTAATGTAGATTGTAACTAAAGTCATATTATTTCCTCCATTGTTATAAAGACTAATTGCTGAACAATTAATTTAATTAATATATGGGACAGCCAAATTGAGATTAAGACAACTGAAATAACTTAACCAATGTTAATGATTAAAATAATTATTTACCATTTAACTAGTATTACAACCTTTATGACTAAATTGACTATAAAATACTATGTTCATCTACTAGCTAAATTTCTTTTAAAAAAAATCCAGCAGCCATTTATATTTTTTCTTAATATTAAAACAGTAAATCTCTAAGTATAAAACTATTTCTTTTCCAAGATAGTTATTAAAGAAATGTATTTTAAGTCAGAACAATTTGAATCATAACAGTTATTTACCATTTATATATATTTCTAATTTTTAAAAACAAAAAACATAATTGTGGGAGACAATCACTAGATAAACTAAACTAGTATTTCTATTAATTTAATAATAAAATACTACTGTTTATCAAAATGTTAATGTATTTTATGAAAAAAGTGTTCTATGTCAAATAAATTAAGTTTCTTTATGGCAGTATTATTAAGAACACCAAAATATGCTAATGTGAATTTTGACTCTCAAAGAAGGGATAGAGTATTTGATTTTTGAAAAAAAATTGAACATTTAGTAATGTAGCTACTATCATTAAAACATTGTTTTCTGTTGAAAAGGGAATGTGTTAAGAGAGATGGATAATTTTTAAAATTATTCAATGTCTCAAAAAGCCCAAAGTGTATTATTAGAGCAAAGAACCAACGTGGCTAAAATAAAGAAACTCACAACAAGAAAGTCACATCTATAAACTCTTAAGATCACCCAAAAGCATCCTTCAAATCCTCCAAGAAGGGAACTGGAAAAAAGAAAAGTCCTGACAGCTAGACATTGACCTGGTGCTGTGAGAAGGCCTTGGCTTTCTGGGAGCCAGCCTGGCACTCACAGGTGGGCTCTGTTGTCCTACTGACATCACACAGCTTCCCAGAACATCAAAATTAGGCAATGCCACTGTCACCAAGATGGACCAAGACAGAAACAAGACCACTCCGTAATCATGTTGGAATACAGGCAAAAACATGAACATTGCCTAAATCACAAAAATGACCAAATATTCAGAATGCTGCTAGAATGAATGACTGTTGCTTCTTTACCAATTCCAGCTTTAGCCTCTCCTGTCTTCTACTCAGAGCAACCCACTCCTTGTGGCTTGCCTGGGAATTTCCTGTTTGGGGCACTGAAAAGGCTTTGTCTCCAGAAACCCCGCTGTCTCAAGCAAACCCGAACAGTTCAACACTCTACTTCTAAGTAGCATCATTAATATTCCATTGATATAGCAAATAATAAAATTACCCCTGCTTCCTGATAGCAAGCAAACTCTAGCCAAGCCCTGCTTCCTTAAACCCTCCCTCAAATTACTTAACACAAGTCTAAATCCTCTAAGTCTTTTCTAATATCCTTTTACTGAGACATCTCATGGTTGTTCTTCTCTTTTATACTGACAAGAAAAACATCCAAATAGTTCAAGTGCAGGTATGTACCTAGTGGTCTTTGGCTAAAGGGCATTGGCAGAATACAAAGGAAGAAGAGTCAAAGACAGTAGAACTGGAAGTAGCTAGAATGTTGGTCTCAATGTATCTCCTAAGTGAAGCTACCAGTTTCATATAGGTAACTGTATCAGAAAAGCAGAGTAACAAAGATTCCCCCTTGAGAGGAACTGTTCCCATGCTGTATATAAGAAAAAAAGGTTTTTTTTCTTTGTCTCTGTCTTATGAAAGTTGCAGAAGGCACAAAAGCAGCTGGGATTTCCAGATTTCTCTCAGAACTAGTCTTGTCTGAAATGTAAAACAGCTTTTATTTCTCTAACAATTTAAAGCACTTTCATAAGTGGGATCTCTCTCTCTCTCCCCCTTCCTCATGCTCTTTGTCCCACTCTCCCTCCGCATCTCCCCTCCCTTTCCCACTCATTCTCCTGCACACACAGATACACAAATCGAAATAGTGAAAGGTTGTATAAAACTGGCTCAATCATTTTGTGAACTGATGAAAGAATTAGGAAATGGATTTTATTTAATACATTTTAAAAGAAGGAGAAGAAGTAAGTCATTTCACCAAAATAGAATCTGGAATTTTCTGCTAATTCTTCTGTAATATTTGGTTAGAAACAACCATTTTATTTACCATGGGGACATAATCACAGATGCACAAAAAAATTTACATCTGTGAATATTAGCAGAGGCACTGTTTGTAGTGTAGGAAATTGGAAGTAATCTAAGCAATAAGGGACTATGTGATAAAAGATATCATTAATGAAAATTCTATCAAAGAATATTTAACAAGAAACAGGTTTATAATATATCTAAAAAATTCAAGTCACAAAATTATCAATTTAGCAGATTTTTGTTTTAGTAAACTAAAAAACTATATAAATATATATATAACTATGGGTCGAAATTTAAAAATATTCTTGAGTGAATAAAAAAAGACTAGCCATATACATATATATATATAATATATATATCAGCCGTGTGTGTGTGTGTGTGTGTGTGTGTGTGTGTGTATGTGTGTGTATGTATAGAATGAGTGGTTATTTCAGGCTTGTAGTGTTGTGTAATTTTATTAGATTATTGATAGATACAATATTAATAATATCTAATAATATAGTATATTTAATATAGTCTGATTTATCTACATTGAAATGCACTTACTTTACAGATTAAACTATACATGTACCTTTAATTCAAGTTAATAAATGAATAGATTAAGATTACAAACTAAGTGCATGTATCTATTTTCTCCTATCTACGATATGTAAATGCAATAATAAATAAGATTGTTTTAAGATAATCAATGTATAAAATCATCGGAAATTGATAAATGGAACACTTACATAAGGAAAAATTTTGAGGAGTTCCTAAAAGATAGAAGTTAATCTGAAATTAGATGAACAAAGATACCAAAGATACAGAGCCCAAAGTAAGTATAGAAAAGGAAACTTCAGATACAAGATTAGTTCTCTAAAACTACTTAGTTTCCAAAATGAAAGAAACTAAAATTCAAATAGTAAAAGAGGGTCCTGGGACAAAGATAACAGTAAAAAGTGAAAACTTCATTTGGAACAACTGAGATATTTGGGACTTTCCCAGCTACTGTTTCTACTGAGCAAAAGGCAGTTTTTCTTTTGCCCTAAGAATGAAACTCTAGACTCTTTTGAAACACAATTTGCTGTTACTGGGACTGGATGAAGAGCAGAGTGAAGCCTGACATGTTTCCAACCCTTCCCAAAGACAGCAGAGAAAGGAAAACTCTTAGGAGAAGGGCTGGATCCAGAATTTTTTCTGAGGATTAAATTTGTTTTTTTTTTTTTATTTTAATTAATATTTTTTATTATGATATTGTGGGGTACAGTTAAGGGTTAGGTATGCAAATATGCTTCATTCAGGCTCCCTTGTTGATAACAAGTGTCTCCCCGTCTCCGGAAAGATGTTTACTACCATTAGTCCCATCCCCCCCATAGTTTCCCAACACTGTCAGTCATTTTCTTATAGTAGTGCATTGGATGATCAAGGTCCACTATATGAGTGAGAATATGTGATACTCAGATCTTTGTTTCTCTGAGAGGTCACTTAGTATTATAGACTCTAGCTCCATCCAGGTTGCTGCAAAATTCATGATTTTGTTCTTTTTTATGGCTGCATAGTATTCCATCATGTGTATGTACCACATTTTTTAATCCAGTCCTCTTTTGATGGACAGCGTGGTTGGTTCCAGGTTCTTGCTATTGTGAACAATGCTGCAATAAACATTCGTGTGCAGGTATCTTTTTTTATAGAGTGATCTGAGTTCTTCAGGGTATATTCCCAGTGGGGGGGTTGCGGGGGCATATGGGAGTCGATATTTAGAGCTTTTAGGAATCACCACACTGCTTTCCACAGAGGTTGCACTAGTTTGCACTCCCACCAACAGTGTAGAAGTGCTTCCTTTTCACCACACCCTCTCCAGCAGCTGTTATTTTTTGAGTTGTTGATAATTGCCATTCTGACTGGAGTTAGGTAGTATCTCAGTGTGGTTTTGATTTGCAGCTCCCTGATGATTAATGAGGTTGAGCATTTCTTCATGTGTTTGTTGGCTGCTTGGATGTCTTCCTTTGTGAAGTGTCTGTTCATATCTTTTGCCCACTTTATAATGGGGTTATTTGTTTCTTTCTTTTCATCACGTTTGAGTTCCTTGTAGATCCAAGATGTTAAGCCTTTGTCAGATTAAATTTGTAAGCATGGCTCTATAGGATGTAAGTGTTTTGACCAGGAGACTCATAAGGGAGCAACAACTATTAGCTGACAGTGATTCTCAATTAAAAGCATTAAGATTATCTCTCCCCTCTCCTTCTCCTACCCTGTCACCCACAATTCACTCAATCTTTCCTTAAGGCACCTTTTCCTATCAACACCTTAGTCAAACTTGTTACACAGAAATGGCACAATATCTTGCAACTGAGGGTGTCGTCCTGGGACCAGCAACTTACTAGAAAGACAGGCTTCTAGCCTCCATGCCAGACCTACTGAGTCAGGATCTGCTGCATTTTAAAAGAATTGCCAGTGATTTGAATTCACAATGGAGTTTGGAGCACTGTGTAGTAACAATAATTTATATCTTAGTGTGATATATTTCCATAACATTATCATAGCATAAATCATTAACTGAAATTATATCATATATTAACTGTTTCTTTGTTTCTTGTTCATCTAATCTAGAATGCAAGCTTTCGAAGTCAGGCGATTTTTAAAAAGTATTATTATTATTGTTATTTTAGAATCAAGGGGCATGCGAAGAGTTGTTACATAAGGTATACTGTGCAAAGGTAAGATTGGGATTTCTGAAGAAACTCCTCCCCCTGTGGTAAGCATGGTACCCAATGAGTGGCTTTGATTACCTTACTTCTTTCTCCTTCCCTATTTCCCTCCCTTCTGCCTTTAGCCA